GGTAGCGGTGGTGATGGTGGAGTTGATGGTGGTGATGTTGATGGTGGTGGTAGTGATGGTGATGATGGTTGTGATGATGGTTGTGATGATGATGGCGATGGTGGTTGTGATTGGGATGATGGATGTTACGGTGATAATGATAGAGACAGTGATAGTGATGGTGATGGTGACGTTTTCTTTCGTTTTCATTTTTTTTTGGGGGGGTCTTTTTAATGTACATGTTTTTACGTCCCCCTCCCCTCCCCCCAAATCGACACAATTTAGATCATTTCGTAGACGGGCTTCTGACCCTGTATGTCTGGGCCAACCCAGGCTGAGAGAGATACAACATCCCAACAGAATAAGACCAAGATACTGGATAAAAATGTTCTCCCTACTCGGGAATCGAGCTCGGATCTAATGCGTGCGACAAACAATGATTATTGTTTTGGGGTTTTTTGCTTGCTAATATTGAGACATACACCTGAACCACGTAGAACGGTGTAGCTTTGGTGCTGATTTTCACCGACATGGTTCTAATTCTAAATGCATTTTAACTTACTAGTGACTTGGACATTGATTTATCAAGGGCAACGGCAACTCTTTGCTCTCCGCCTTTTGGTAATGCCACTTTCCACAATTACTGCATATTTACTTGCCTATAACACGAAAGATTTTTCCTAAATAAAGAGGTCCAAAAGGTAAACATAGGCCGGGATTAGGCCCAACAAAGGGGAGGTATCATCGATGACGAAATGGAAGACTTCTGGGAGGCCAGTGATACAAAAGATTAATTAAACCATGGATGGAATCTTTTACTTTTATCCCAAAGAATAATGTGGAGAGCTTAGTTCTCAATGCAGCAACTAAATGTTTTCAAAGGTAAGACATTATCATTATTATTTGATGCCGGGCTTATACTTATCCCCGGTAGGAAGTTTGAAATTTACACGATATTATACCTGCAAAAATGGGCCGATTTCTTTTAGCCGAAGTATACCCTCCATAATACATGTATACCTACTTTCGTGTTATTGACGAGTATACAAAATAAATAATCGCTTGAAATGATATTTTGTCACCAGACTAGTACATTTTTCTGGTTTCTTTCCTGTGAATTGCTTTAACACCTTGCGGAATTTGACAAATTATACATAACATGTCCTCTTCAGGTGTGTCCTTGAAAACGGCAGAGCCCACATAGCGTCCGAAATCACCGGTTTCCAAAACAGCACAGATGATTTCGACGACGAGGACACCTCATCTCCAGAACCGACCACAACAACGACGACTACCACGACGACCGCGACAACAACCCCGACCGCGCAGGACGACCCTTGTGCTGCTATCACGTGTCCGCGAGGCCTCCGTCGGGTCGCGAGGAACGGCGGGTGTTCCTGCCGCCCCATCAGACGCTTCACCGGGAGTGGTGGACGTCGCAGGCCGGGGATGGGCAGGCCGAGAGGTTAATTAAGCAAGACCACAGACTGGAGGAGAATGAGGAGGAGGAGGAGGAGGATGAGGAGGAGGATGAGGAGTAGGGGGAGTAGGAGGAGAAGGAGGAGAAGGAGGAGGAGGCGGCTGCTTACTGGTCAAGATATTCCGAGATACCAAAGAATTCATGGACATTAGTAATATCTGTTTTAGTTTTTTCTGGATCTCATGACGACAAGATAGGCTGCATTTTCTTTTATTTGTCAAACATATAAGAGAAAATCAAGCCAGGACAAATAGTTACGGTTTTGAAAAGGGAATAGACCTAATAGTTACCCAAAAGCATACATGTTTGTTGGTAAGGATACTGGGTAATTTCATGTTATGTTATTCTCATTTTCAAATAAGACATATATTCTGTTTACATTGCATCTATTTTTCTTTTATTTGAAAGGAACAGGCAGAGAAAATACAACATAAATAAACGACAAGAAATCCTGAACACGAGCTCTGACCAGAGTACATTACCACGAGCATAAGTCGAAGAAATTGGTATTGCCTTTGGGGGGGAAATAGGGACGCTCTCGAGCTTGGAAAGAGGTATACAAAAGCTCGAAGGTTGGGAATTGTAAATAACGTAAATAACATTTATTTTATTTCCCCTCTGAAAACTATGGTCAACCTGTCACTTTATCTATATGAAAACGATTTAGATCTACATAAAAATATGGAAAACCATCACCTACTTCTCTGTGAATGAGGTCAAGTTACTATAATGAGCCACAACCCATCTCCAATCCAGAACTTAGAAGGAACTGAGACACACTCTGTGAAACAGCCTCTCTAGAGTATAGAAAAACATTCAAAAATAACAGGTTCGAAGTTGCCAAGTTGTATTCCCCGGCTCAAGTGTGGCGGGGGTTTTCTGTGTGTATAATTAGAATTGGTTCTGTGACAATGTACAGATGTTAACCAAAGACAGGGTAGAAATTGATCTTATAAGTGTACATCCAATTGTAATCGTTTATTTAACACAGTGGACTCTCTCTCTCTCTACCCCTCTCTCTCTCTCTCTCTCTTTCTCTCTCTCTCTCTCTGTCTCTCTCTCTCTATCTCTCAATCACTCTGATTCACTTCCCATCCTCCCTTGCTTTGTCTCTCGCTCTGCATCTGACATAATTAATTTATTATATAATGAACAGGCACATAGATTTCTGGTCTGTGTTTAAGGTCAGATTCTCTTGTAGTCCATGCCGGGCGTGCTTGTGTATGTGTGTGTGTGTGTGTGTGTGTGTGTGTGTGTGAGAG